AGACCAGCAGTGCCCATCCATTTTCTCAAAGATCATTTAGTATATTTAAGTTAATCATTTGTAGAATATCACATTTGCCACTCTAAATTATTTAGAAAATTCCAGGTTGCAGAAGTACTCTTGTCAGACAAAAGGAATAATTTTGCTTTACTGAAGGACCTGCATCATAGTACCATCTTTTACTAAGAAGAAAACCCCAAACAATATAATTGGCATTCATGTACAAACTGCTTAAATGCTCTCAAATTCTGCCTGGCTTCAGAATAGTTGAACAGTACCTGAAGTATCTACTCTCCATCCCAATTTGTGTATTTTAAAAGGCATTAAATTCTTGAATGAATCATTAGGAAAACAATTCAAATGATGTCAAACTGATAGTAATTTTGCCTCATAGGATAGAAGTGAGCTTAATGTTTGCAAACAGCCAAATTCTTTCAAGATTTACACTCCATGAAGTTCAATATCAGCCAGGGAAGAATTACTAAATCAGGATGTACTTCAAGTACAGGTTTTGGCCCAAGACTATTTTTGGTCTTCAGCTGCTTGTTTTGACAGCATCTAATCCCCCTCACACACCCACCAGTGGCCACTGGTGTAAATCTATCCATTTACACTTTCAAAGTAAATTCAAAATGAAACATTCTTAAATAATTACTCGTGGATGTCTGTAATACAAATCCAAAAAGTAACTGCAATTCAACTGTAATATTTCTTAGAGAAAAGAAAGGGACAGGGAGAAAAATCTTTCAGAATCCATTCAAAATGTGACATTTTCCTACACTAATGCTCTCACCATCACCCCATTAAAATGAAAATTTAAAAAAAAAAATCTAACTCCCAAAGAGCTTATCTACTCTATTTCACACATTCCCATCAGAAACAACACAGTTTCCACGTTTAGAAGATTTTTCATTTAGTGAGTTATTATAATCCCTGGTGAAAGAATAGTAACTGAGAAGGTCTTCTGCAGGGGCACAAGGCAGAGAGGGAAGCAGGAGGGTGGGTGAAGAGGGGGAAATAGCCAGGGCTGGAAGTGAAACAGTTCACCTTTGTCTGGAGAGCAGGATCACCCCCTCCAGGTTGAGGACTATGCTGAAAGAGTGCGCTGCTGTGGCATGCAGTGTGTTTCTCCATTCACACAGGAGAGGAACCTGGCCCACAGATGGCCTGTTCTCAGCTCTGTCAGCCACAAACAGACCTTTGAACTTTCTATTTATATAACAGTTTAGTGAGTTTAAGCCTCTTCCTGTATAACTGGCAGTTTGCTGGTTTTGCTGTAATTAGGCTACTTGTGATACATAATATAAAATAGGAAAAAAACAAGAGGCTTGTTTCTCTGCAGGGCTAAGTCTTCCTCCTTGCAACCACACAGCTAAGATGACACTGATACCTGTTCATCTTATTTTACCTTGCCAGGTTTTGATTTACATACCTCAATATGCATTTTTCTGCTAAGTATTTTCTCAACTTCCACTTTTTTAAAGATTGGATGGCTTAAAAATATTAATACCTATGACAATCAATGTAACATAAACCAAGAATTTTTCTGCCTTTGTTTGTGCTAGTGAGGAGTATATATTCCAGGGTGGTTGGGTCTTTGTTGGGTTTTGTTGTTTCCCAGCTGCTGATTAATGACACCACCTTGCTCCATAAGCAGGTTCAAATCTAGCCACATGGTCCCAGGCCACAGCAAGATTTCATTTACTTGGTTACCACAGACAAGCATGGAAAGTGATTTAAAAGATGAAATTTGATTTTTAACAGCAAGTGGTCCCCTTGGTGCACACAGGCATTCAAGCTTTTCATTATATCCATCTCCCTTTCTTTCTCCCTCATAGAATGGCTCATATTAAATGCAAGCCCAGGTGAACGCTTCTTATTCATCCAGGAATCATAGCAGACTTCAGCTTTGGCCCTTTCATCTCATCCTGAGTTTACATTTACCTAAATTGTTTGGGGTATTTTTCAGTTTTTTTCAAGTCTGGCAAAACATCCACAAGGATATTTGTGGCCTCGTTTTACACATTTTACCCCAGCGTTAACAAAAACCCGACATCAACTCTCAGCTACCTTCCTAATCACATTCACAATGAAGAGTCAATGAAACATCTCATTCTTGTACTACTGTGATCTCTCCTAATATGGGAAACTAAAGGGCTGATTCTGCAGTTTGTGTCATCAAGACAAAGCTCCGACTAATCATCTGGAAGGCCAGGTGAGAATTTCAGCACATGTGCAGTGGCAATGCACACTGTAACAATCACAGCTCTTGAGAAAATATGTTTCAAGAAGTGACACAAAAATGTACCTCCACTGGAGGTGGGGGGAAATTAACTATATTTTTCCCATCAACGAGTAACTTTCACAAAGTCATTTCCTGGTATAAAGGCAAGGCAAAGAAAGTTTACCTTAACATCTTTTCATCAGATTAAAAAAAAAATTCTGCTCAAGCTATAAATATATTTTTTAATATATTTCTCAGGCTAACGATGTTTCTGTTGTACTTTGCATACAGATAATACAAACACCCACACACACAGTAGGCCTGAGCTTGCCTTCTTGGTGATTGCAGCACAGATTAGGAGAAGTTTTGGGTTTGCAAGGAATGCAGAAGAGGGTCCCTAATTGCCTGATAAATGCTTGTGAAACACGTTTCACAAAGGCCAGCTCACAGGCAGAAGGAGGGCAGCTTCGAAATAAGAAGTAGCAATTCACACATCATGTTATGCGTACTTATTTGCAAATATTACAAAGCAACCACACCATATTGGATACAGAGACAAAATTAATAAAGCTTGATGGATGTGCATGCATATTCCTGGGTGTGTGGAGACAATGTATGTATAACACATTACATACATACACGTGTTTGTGGACAGAGGAGCTAAATTTAACTCTCTGTAAGCTATGCAACTACTTGTCAGAGACAAACATATTTACATGTATAATAAAATACATGTCACATTTGTGTAGACATGTAGATTATGTACCCACATATTATATATGCACTTACATGTACTAATTGGATTGCTAAAAGCTAAATGCAACTTGATCTCTGCAGTATGTGTGAACGCCTGTGCCACATAGAGAGTTTGAGCAGATATCAAACTGTTTGAAACAGTCAAAGTAAAAATGTTCTCTCATCATGAACCCTAAAACCACTAAAAACAACACTTTTCACAGTACAAAAAACAGCAAATAGAATTTTAGAATGAGAGGCAATATATTCATATTTTATGGAAAAACCGAGGCACGAGAGTTCCCTTCTTTCTGATGCACATCTCTAAATCCACATAAAACCATGGTCAAATGAAAGTAAGTTATTAAGCAAACACTAAAACTCAATACCTATAAATGCTTAGTATTTGAACTACACCCACATATTGGGTTGTAACAGCTTCTATTAAATTAATGTTACCCACATTATAAATTAGGCAAATTGTATGCAAATATTATTTGAGTGGTAATACGGTGGTTATCAGTTGTCTGCAAAATAAATTAGTGTAGCAGAGTAAAGATAGCGTAGTAGAAGCATAATATTTAATTGAGCACTAATTTTATTGTGATTATTACTTTTAAATAACAACAGCATGATTATTAAAAAGATGTAATACAATGGATTATGCAGAGCTGATAAAACATGCACATGATCCAAAACGCCTGCTTACAGATTAATATTGATATAGTGTAATTTATGGTTGTGAGGAATTACTCCCAATTGCTGTAAAATGGAACGTGACAGGTATTTGGTTCTGATTACTATGGATTTGCAAGTATAGCTGTTAGACCCTGTTTGGCAAAATGATAGTTATTAACAAGATATATTACCTTTTTCCTAGACATACCTTTATATTATCAACAAAGTAAAGTAAACCCTCTGCAAAACACGAGGTCCAAATGCACATACATACACAAATATAATCTGTGTGGCATTTAGAGATTAGGATCACAAAATACAGTATTTTAGTCTTTCTTCCTTGGCAAACTGCACTCCAGCCTAAAAGCATTTACACAAAGCAGTACCCAACGTCTGAATTTCCCCATGCATAGTTAAGGAATTATATTCGCTAAATTGAAAAGTAAAGAAAGAACCAATAAAACCAGCCAAAGAATAAGCATAATCTCATTAACCAGCCACAGAAGTGACTAAGTACCTACCCAAATTCTAACTTTCCCAGCTACTTGTCACCCATCAAAAATTCCTTAACGTTCACTTTGATAACAAGTTACAATGCACTTAAACAGATGCACCGATCTTTTTAAGGTGTGCACCTATTTACAGAGCAATATAAACCTAAAATTCCATTCTTAAAATAAATAGAAATAAAAGAAAAATGATGCAGAGACGGGCAAGAAAAAAAAGACCTGTTATAATATCACGGGTACTGATCTTGCCACTTCCAAAACTAACTTCAATAACGTTTCATCTAGAATAGGAAACCAGCAAAACCAGCAACAGAAGCCCCCACACCGATCAGAGCTACAGCCGAACTGTGCCACACAGCGAAACTACAGTTGCGGTTCTCCCCGTGAAAGGAACATTGTCAGTGACAGCAGTAAACACAACATTAGCAAAGCCGCGATCCCGGGGAACATCGCCACCCCTGCTCGGGAGGGGGCTGCCACCGCTGATCGCAGCCGGCACCCGGCACCTCTCGGCGCTGCCCTGCGGGCCAACTTCGCCCCCCGCCGCCGCGCTCCGAGCGCTGCTCCCCTGCCGGGGCCGCGGAGCGTGGCTGGAGCCGGCCGGCACCGGCTGCCCCGGCCGGCCCCGCTGCCCGCGGGCGCAGCGCGGACCCGCTCCCCGCTGGCACCGGGTGCTGCGCCCCTCAACAAAGGCTACGGCACCGGGGAGCGAGCAGGGAAGGGTAGGAAGGAGGCAGCTGGAAGAAGGAGAGGGGTGGAGAGACGGGGAGGGGAGGTGGTGCGGGAGGGGGAGAAACCAAAACCAAAAAAAAAAAAAAAAAAAAACCAAAAACCCACCACCCAAAAAAACCTACCACTGCTGCTCTAAGTCCCAGTCCCTGAAAAAGTCGAATAGGTCCATAACGATGTGGTGGGGAGACTCAGAGAAGTGGTGCCCCCTCCCCGCCCCGCAGAGCCGAGCCGAGCCGAGCCGGCGCGGCTATCGCTGGCCGGCCCGCATGGGCAGCGGCGCCGCGGGGAGCGGCGGCCGCCGCGGGGCCGCGCGGAGCCGCCCGGGGTGGCGGAGCGCCGCCGCCGCCGCCAGCAGCGCGGCGCGGCTGTGCCCGGCTGGGAGAGGCAGCGCAGCGGCGGCGGCGGCCCGGCGCACACACACACAGACGGGCGGGCAGGCTGCCTCGCACACCGCGAGGGGAGGAGCCGGGGCGGCCCGAAGCCGCGGCATGGAGCCGCCGCGGCAGCACCGCCGGGATCCGGCGGAGCCGCGAGCCCCCGCCGGGAGCGCGGGGAAGTTTAGCTGGAAGGAGGAACTGCGGGGATGCGGGGAGCGGAGCGGCTTCGCGCCTGCGGGAGACCTAGGGAGGCCTGGCTGGGGTCGGAAAGGGGGACAGAGAAGGGGGAATAGGGGAGAGAATTAAAAAAAAAAAAAAAAAAAAAAAAAAAAAAAAAACCCAAACACACACACACACCAAACCAGCATCTATAATCCTATCATTTAATTGGCAAAGCCAGCTCCTGCTGGCTGTGTGGACAAACCTGCCTGCACGGACATGGCAAGGCCAGAGCTCCGGGTCAGCTGCACTGCGAGATGCAGGATGGCAGGCAAGGGTCAGAGCAGAGTCAGGCTGGGGCAGCCCAGGAAGGCGGGATGAAAAAGGCCCTCCCGAGCCCCGGGAGGTCTGGATCCAGGGCAGCACCCTGTTCTCCCACTGGGATGATTACCCTTCCTTCTGGCCCTGCGATGGGGAGTGGCACTGCTCACTTACGGGCATTAGTCAGGACATTGTCAGGGGCATCCCAGAGCTCCCTACAGAACCCACCCCACTCCCCCACCAATCTCAGGGAGAAGCCAAACACAAATCCCAGGCTGCCCCTACACATAAGCAGAAAGGAGCCCATTGCTCCCTCCATCCCCTAAATGAAATTATTCTCTACCCAGATTCACACTTTCATATCTGAATTGCCTTCTTAGCAGTAACCAGTGCCTTATGACTTTTCACATCCATTTTATATTTATAATACTTCAAATATATATACCCACTGAGCAAACAAGTGCATACATTGGTTTTGCAAACACAAGACCAAAGCCATCTTCATTTTTACTTCAGTCTTCCACAGAACCAATCACAGAACGTCCCTGCATGCCAGCAAGTCTTGAGGACTTGGTGAAGTTTGAAATGACCCTTATTTTGGTGAGCTCCTGTCTCCACAGCTGTGTGCCAGCCCCAGGAGACTCAACACAGCCGGTCACAGCAGCCAGCTCTGCCACCACAGACAAGGCTCCAGTTTACCCTCTGGCAGGAACATCAGGTGCACACAGCATTTCCTTTCTTGCATCTGTTTTCACCACTGACTCAAACACACTACTCTGGCCCTCAAGCTTTAAAATATCATGAGTTGGGCCCCTCTGTTCACTCATTTTAGCGGCATTGTTGGTTTTAAAGGCCCCATTCAAAATCCTAATTTGAATACCTTAGACCGACATGGGAGGTGGAGTCACACTTTCAAAATTTCACATTTCTCCAGATGCAGGTACAGAGAGATTTTTTAACAAACAATTACTATTCATAAAACTAAAAGCCTAGTCTGTCACCTAATCACTTACATTCAATATCTTGCCTATTTTCAGTGCATTGAACTTCAACCATTAAACTCAAACAACTTACTAAAAGCAGTGGGACTTACAAAAGGAGACAGTTCTGCTTCCTGTTTTCTCAGAGGGTCTTTTAGCTGCCAGCTGGCCACCCTGCACCAAAGCAGCCTGCAAAAGAGAAAGGGCTCTTACCCAACAGAAAGAAAAATCACTTTGCAGGTATGAGCACCTTCACTTTCTTAAAGCAAACCCTTTTCAATTCTTCAGAAACTAGCAAAAGATAGAACAGATCCTGAAAAGGCTTTCAGAGCTCGTTCCAGCAAAGGGGTGAGAGATCCTTCATCACAAGCAAACCTGTTGTCCCCATGACAAGCAATAGCAGAGGTAATGGATCTCCTCAGAAGTTGCCTCTTTGGCACTTGGAGCTCCCCAAGCACCCTGTGCCCTCAGGTCTGTGATAAAGTTTGTGAATGAAGCAGCTTTTCACTGTCGGTTTCAAATAGCTTCCTGCAGTCAGTTTCAAGCCCTCAAGGATGCACCTGAGTGCCACCACTGGGGACACTCAGCCCATGCTCCACTGGAGCCCTGTGCCCGACACACATCTGCTCCCACAGGGGTGCAGGGACAGGGCCATGCCCAGCCCTGTCCCCAGGAACACAGCAGCCACACTTGGCCTGGACACACAGCAGTGGAGCACGGACCTGCTCACCCAGACCTGGCCTGCAGGAGCGAAGGGCTGGGGACATGTCGGGTGTAGCCGCTCCCTCAGTGCCCGGCTGCTGGCACAGGGACCCAGAACCTTCTGCAAGGCCCCACCTCAGGGGCAAACACAAGCACGAGGCTGCCCCAGCTCTGGCTCCACACAGCCAAGGGTTCATTTACCCGAACTGCCAGGAATAGAAAATTCAGCTGCCCTCGGTGTGACCTCTTTTACAGTTATAGTGGAAAATACAACTGCGCTTCCCAGCACCTGCAACAGCTCAGAACGGGGATAATAAGATCAGCAAGGCCTCCTGGCCCTGTGCTCTGCGGCCCGGCCCCGCAGCCTGCCACAAAGGGGAGTGCTGGCTCAGCACGGTCAGGCTCCGCTTTTGCCGCCGAGGCTGCAGGCGGGAGCCCCGCTGCCATCGCACCGGCCCCGCTGCCCCAGCCCCGCTGCCATCGCACCGGCCCCGCTGCCCCAGCCCCGCTGCCATCGCACCCGGCCCTGCTGCCCCAGCCCCGCTGCCATCGCACCCGGCCCTGCTGCCCCAGCCCGCCCAGCCCCGCTGCCATCGCACCCGGCCCTGCTGCCCCAGCCCGCCCGGCCCCGCCTGTGCCAGCCGCCCTGCCCGGCCTGCTCGACCAGCCCAGAGCCGGCTTCGCGGCAAGATGCTCCTCGTGGGTGGCTTGGGTGGTTGTCCCCACTTGGGGTTACAGGAGAAGGAGTCCTGCCTCCTGCCAGAGTGCCCCTCTGGCAAAGGCACAAATGCCCAGACCCCTCTGGTGTGGCTGCTATGGCCGAGGCGTGGGTGGATGTAGAAGCTGAAAACACTGAAGTTATTGGAGGTGCTGGGCTTGCACCAAAACAGTCAAACTTCCCACCTCCTTCATGAGGTTCAGCAGCAAACAGGGGAGAAGAGAGTTTGAGGCAGGGAATGGACATCCCAGCCTCATCCTTTCTCCTTCAAACCTACCTATATCCCTTGATAATCTCCTTACCCAAAGTACTTTTGTAATCTGTATGCAAAGGAACATACAAAGGCGGTGAGGAAAGTGAGAACTAGCAACAAGGGCCTGTGTGGTGCTCCAAAGGCCAGGGTGCAGCTGCCACCACCTGCCCCAATGTCCCTGTTCCTGAAGGAGGAGAGATTACACTGTCCATGGTGGGTCAGGTGAGACAGGCCAAGGCCAGCAGTCCACAGCCACAGAGGCACAAGTTAACTGAGCTGCACCCCTTGTGAGACAGCACAGAAACCTTTTCCGCTGAGAACACTCCATTTTATCCAAAGAAAAGCTTATTTTCCCCCAAAACAAGAATAATGAAATCACAGTTTTCTATCCAGAAAATGTTAATGGAAAATTTGTGCCTAGCTATGAATACAGATTGGAGATATTTGGATTTCTGAGGAAAGGAAGGTCAAGTCATTTTCACAGTGTGAAAAATGAAGCTAACAGAGTTCATATTTCTCTGTGAAGCAATGATTGATTTTTCTTTCTGTGCCTCATTCATACAGAACTAAACATGTATAGAGAACAAACTTACACCTTAGATAAAGCACACAGATTACATTAATACATTGAAAATTAAGTTAATATTAGCATCTGTTTGAAGGTAGGCACAAGAACATTTAACTCAACTCTGTGAGAACAGGCAGGAGTTTGCATAAATCTTACGTATCCTAAAACTGCTATATCACAAAAAACCCCACCATTGAGATGTGCATTCATAAAGTAGGAACCCATCATGCCTCTATGGCTAAATTTCCTCTTCAGAAGTACATAAGGATTTTAGTTACTGAAAGGATGTTGTTACTCAATTTCAAGGGTGTATGTATAGGCAATCTCTATTTTCTTACCATCTTAATTGTAATTATCAACTCCATGATGCCTGAGCAATTCATTTAACTGTGCAGAACTGTTCTTATTAGAGTTGCTACTCCTATTTTATGAAATAAGATAAATTTAAAACAATAATCCTTCTAGAAATATATTGGTAATGTATTCTTACTGTAAGTAGGGGGAATGTTTTCATGTCCTGTTGAATAATCCTTCCTTCAGTAAGTTTCTCCAGACTCCTTTAGGAAACATGGCATTATGAGATTTTTGTCAGAGTGGAGTTCATAATGGCAAGCTCTTACATATCTTATGGTAGGATGTGTCCACAGCCATCTGCCAGGACACACTGAGTTTCACCACACTCAGATCCTATAAGGCTCATGGTGGATATTATAAGGTCCCACAATGATTAGATGAGAATTGGCCATTGGGGTTTTCAATTCTCTGTTTTGTTATCTCTCTGTTTCTCAACCATTTGCCACCAAAAGCCCCTGGAATGCCACTCAGGTGGTGAGAAAATCCTCCCTGCAACAGGTTGCAAACTAGTGCTTTCAAGAGATGCACATTGATAACTCAGCAGTTGTGCTAGAAGTGTTGAGGTGCTTAGACTGTGACACTGTGTGACCCTTTCTGACCAAGGCACAGCTCCACTCGATGTTTTGCCACTGTCAGAAATGTGAAGAGGAAAAAAGGCAACACCAATAAGATTCCTATTTATTGCTGTCAAACAGCACATTAGCCAGGCAGCTCTTAAAACACTGTCAGGATAGTCTAAACT